GCCACTCCCTCCTTGAAAACAGAGTTAGCATTCTGGACTGCACATTAGCTAAAATCTTTAACTTAACAGTTATGCCAATATAAATTTTGAATTTTCATCTCTTTTAATCAAATAACCTTCTCTGAATCAAAACATCTTCTTTTGAAGAAAGCATATGCTTTTCTTTATACTTTTTTCCCATCATAAGAAAGCTTTAAAAAAACAGAAAAAGAAGAAAAAAAAAGGACTCAAACTATTTTTTTTAAGTTTGGGGCATTTTTTGTTGTTTTCTGAAAAATTCAAAACCACTGAAAAAAAATTCTCACCAGCTGTAGATCTCAGAAGACTAAAGAATGCAATGCATGATTGCTCCTATAATGGATATTCTTTTATCCTCTGAAAGGGAAGTAAGCTAATTTTGCAAATAAGATACAGTCTGGTTGCTGATATAATTAGGCTGTATATTCAGTTCCAGAGATGCACTTTCTGTGTGTTTTCAAGCAAGACACTGAAACCCAGAACTGCCAAGAAGGTTAGCTGCTGCAACAAGCAGCACTGCGAAACCTAAGAGTCTGCACATGGCATCCGCAATGTCCTAAGGACAGAAGAGATGGGTGGTTTGTAACGGGGCTCACACTGAATCTAATGCAGCTAATGGGAAATACAGAAGAGACTAATGTGCTTCAAGCCTGTCCTACTACAGGACAAGTTCTTTGTTTCTCTCCTAAGCTTTTTTTCTTTCTTTTTATTTTATGGCCATTATTTAACATTTGCAAGGTTCTTTGAAATCTTTGCATGAAAGCACTAGGCAAAGAGTTAATTCATGTTTCTATAATTGACAGTTTTTACTTGTACTGTCTGGTATGAAAGGCATAACTGTAATAGCACACAGTTTAAAATGAAGTAAAAACATTTTATTTTCCTTGGGAAATTTATAACTTGAGCTGAAAAAAATATAAGCATTCTCATATCTTACATAACAAAAAAAAAGAAATTACCTTGATTTTTTTTTAAAGGCTTCTTCCTTTCTAAAGGGTTTTCTCATCTCTACACCTCAAAGACTACAGTAAAGTTAAATATAGTTATTGTATTAGGCCTAGGTCTTAATTGCTTTTTCATCAATGGAAGTTTAGTAGACAGCAAGAGAAATCAACATCTTGTTGCTGGCATCTTGCTGCCAGCTGCATTGCAGCCATTTGGTGTTACACAGTCAGCAATGCTATACCAGCATCTCATTGTCAGCTCTGTTGGACTTCTTATGCTATTTGGACTCTAGGAAATGAATATGATAAAAGGGTTTATAAAAATATAAGAGATAATAGTACTTAAGAATAAGATGTTCTATAAAAATCAGGAAAGTTTTTAAAGCTGTTCTGCTGTAAGTTCGTTCTGTCAGACCTGAGAAAGCTGTAGGACAGCCAGAGCATCAGCCCACTGCACTGCACTGATTCTGGAAAGTACTTTTTCACGGTTTGTGCAAACGCACAGACAAAGAGAATGATACACACTATGGCTATAAAATATAATATTAGCTATCCGTTACTCACAATGCAAATGCAAAACCAAATAAATAACTGTATTACTAAAATATAAAAAAAACGAAACAACCAAAACCAAAAAACCCCAAACATGTGGCAGCAGGACACTATAGGTACAAAAGTTCACAGTGACAAACAAGGTTCCCTAAGCACAACACCAGTTACTTTCCATGATTGCAACTAGGCAAAAATTAACAATCAAAGAGGTAGCATCCACACATTTCAAGTAAGGCATAGATAAATCTGTTTGGATTTTAAAGATAAATGGGCAGTGCAAGAATGAATAAAATATTTTGTCCTTTATGACAGTGTGTATGTAGTCTGGGATCCTTCTCTTGAGGGTAATGCTGATACCCCTATCTTAAGAGCTCACTGTTTTTTGCTGCTTGCTTTGTATTCTGCCTATCTTGGTATCACAGCTTCACAGGTGATAATGAAATGGCACCACTTCTCTCAAGGGCACTAAATTTGAATATTGTCAACAATTGCACAAAATTAAGTTAAAGCACAAACCAATAACCTCTCCATTTGCAGTCCAAGCAATACTGTCAGAATGCAGAACACACAATGAAAGGCAACCAAAGCTGAAGGTGCTACGGTGATGCCACAGTTTATCCCCTACTAATTTGGTTTTAATGAGGATATTATAGCTGCTATCAAAAAGTAGAGAGGACAGTATTTTTTCCCCTTTAGGGACTGCAAGGCTTGGAACCACACACTTCTTAACTCAATAGCCTTGAAATTAATCCAGGATTATTCAACTGCATGAGAATTGTTAGAAGACTGGAAACAACATCCCACACTCTGTCTTTTTATTGTAACCTTCCTTATAGTATCATCTTGCAGTGAAACCTGAATATCCTAATGGGATTAAACATAAAAGAAAGTCTGGAAAAAAAGTTGCTGGATTAGAATTTTAACTGAAGCCTTCTGTGAGAAAGACCACACCACTGTCAGTGACCTTTCTCTCCCCATGTGTGATCCCAGTTGTGCCTAGTCAAGTGTCCAAAGGAGACTCCATCAGTTCATGCTGTATTTATCCTTTTGCTCCTAAAACAGGTGTCTTGTTACTAAGAGAACAAGCATTCATGCCATTGACCAGGGTGTATTAACCCGCCCTGCAAGAGTGCGTAATGTTCTCTGGTATGAAAAGCAGAATGTAATGATGCTGTTTAAGACCTGAGTTTTGTATTGATAAAAAACATCACTCTAAGCAAAAGGCAATAAATTCCGTTCTAGCAAATAGGGAAAAGGGGAAAAAATGCAGGCTTCTGAGTGTTTTAGAATGCCATTTCTATCTCCAGCTCCAGCCTTCATTTGTCTTTTAAATGCACTCTCTGATAAGTTTCCCTTTAACATATCTAAAAAAAATGTTTTAGAATCTCATACTGTATCTTCACAGCCCTCATTAGATACCACAAGAATGCTTTTCATCTCATTTTTACTCTAAACTCCTGAAGTCCTCCCTAGCTCTGAACAATTATATTAATTAGAGAGCAGTTATTCACAGATGAGCAGAAAACTGAGCTCAATCAAAAGAAACTTCTAAAACACTTTTCATTTTTATCATTCTAGATCTCTTTGCCTTTATGGTGCTTCAAAGAGTCATACTCAGTCTCATAAATGCTATCATAAAACATTAACAACAGTGCAAACTCTAGTGTGGGAGGATATGTATGAGGTTGAATTCCTGTTCGTACACCCAGATACATGCCCCAAACTGGGCAACAAGAGGAGGTTTCCTCACATCTTTCCAGCCAGTGTGTTCTCCTAGTAATATAACTAACTCCAGCTCAACCTATTGCTGCTCTCCTTTTCATACTATTTCACACCCACGGTGTCAGGAAAATTGCTGTACACCTGAACTGAAATCTTAGGTATTATACGTTTTTATTCTTATTTGTTTTACTGTAGGAACTACTAGATCTGGTGCTGAGGCAGTGCAAAGAGCAAGAAGATGGTCCTTGACCTTTTAAGCTTGTAAGATAAGTGTAAGAGAAGAGACAAAGAATAGGTAGATGGCCAGACCGCACCATAATCAGATATTCAGATCAGCAGTCAGTAGGCTATGACTACTACATACATTTTCTCTGACAGTTCTGATTTGCAGATTGAGATAATTATTGTCAACATATAACTTGCTATCAATATTTATAATCTCTTTGGCTCCTGTTTTAAGCCCCAGTGCTTATTTCTCCACAAGAAAAAAAAATCCCTCTTGATCTGTAAAATGCTCTGCCTTCTCCCACCCTCGTCTCCCAACCTCTTCTGCAGTATATAGAAAGAAACCGGAGAAGGGAAGAAGTTTTACGAAAAGGATATATTGATATATAAAGATCTTCATAAAGAAGACAAATAAAGATAGGATTAGACATTTGACATGAACATGGATGACCGTTTCAACACTATGGTTTTGAAAACCCTGCTTCCTGGTTGCAGAATTAATTGTGATGAAATATATTCCTCCTGGATGCTCTAATATTTAGAATGAACCCACCAAACCTTTTAATCTGCCTGAAATCCCACAGACAAAAGCACTGCCCTTGATTATGATTTACCATGTAACTAACTTCCTTCTTTGAATCGACTGGCTTATCTTTGCCCACTATATCAAGTACCAATGTTTAGTCCTCAAACTTTGGAATCCAAACAGCTCTGCTCCAGCCCGTGTACCAGGTTTTCTGTCTTACGAAGAATATCTTTAAAACCATAGTTTCACTAACTGAAAGCTTCACTGTTCCTTTCTTTCATTATCTTTCTTCCAATTTTGTGTCTAATTCAGCCCGAGCTCCCCTTCCCCAGCCCCTTTTTAGCCCTATCGGACAGACTCTCACCCTTTTTTTCATTCAAGAGACCCACTGTTTCCTAAGGATTGTTATTTTTTAGGAGTAATTTATTTGCATTCCCAAACTTATATTCGGATAAATGTGATGTAAGCGACAATCATCCCTTCCTTTGGAATCATCAGTGGGTTTTTTCCATTGTGTTTTTTGGTCTCCTAGAATAAACACTTTTCATTCATAAATTTTCTAGCAGCATTTGTCTTGAACACTGGTAAACATACTGTCATCATAAATATCTTTCCTGGTAAAAGGATTTCCATGGCTCCAATGTCATAGATAGATAGTTATGAAAACTGCATGCTGCCCACTCCATGGTACAGAGGGACTGTTTTCTCACAAGCAAACAACAGCTCTCTGATGGGTAAGGTTTTGACTGACCAAAGTAAGGATTAATTAACCTGGAGCTCTCAAATACATGGTAACTATAACAGGTACTTATGCTGAACTACTTTTTATATCCAAAATGTTGTGTAAATGCTGTATTTCATACAATTATAGCATATAGAATTCGGATTCTAATCTCACCAAAACTGACTCTACACCAGCTTTGGCCCATGTACCCTAATTTATACCACTGGATGAACAGAAACCAGTTAAATTCACTATTAATTTGTATAGTAAAAGAATATAGAGACAATACCTGTACAAACCCACACATCACATAGTCATCAAACAAAGGCAGACTAGGGCGGTCCTCTCGATAAATTGTGATTTTGTAGCTGCTCACAATCTGAGGGCTGGGCTGTGAATCATCCGTTACGAGAACGATGACTTTGTTCAATCCAAGACCAAGGGGGTAGTTAGCAATGCTGCCAGGCAAAACAGGAAAGAAGTGGAATAAACACTAAAGAAACAAAGATTTACACTGCTTTATCTATGTCAGCTAAGCTTTTCTTGCTCCTTGAAGCTTCTAACATTTCTTTCTCTTACAAAATACGTATGATTTTAAATAAACAACAGTGTAAAATAAGATTTGTAACAATTTACGATTCTTTCCGGAAGACAAAATACTGACAGTGAAACTCAGTGAAAACAGCTTCAGTGGCAGTGGTAACAATTCTGACATGAAATCTGTGAATGAAGCCACTAGGGACAATAATTCCTGGCAGGTCCAAGCTCATGGTGAAGTCACAAGGGAGACAAACAAGATCAGAGGTGTCAGCTAGCCATTGAAATTGTCCACTAGCCAAATGTGATGGAGTCTCAGACAAACTGCTCAGAGTGACAGACAAGAGCAAAGCTGGACTGTGCTCTTCTTCCCTTGGCAGGGAAATGAGAAATGCTGAAAGACACAGAACCTGCACATCCAGGGCTTTTACTTTTCAGTGTAAAGGACATATCGCTACTCTGTTTTCCTTTTACAAGGAAGAAATGTCTTAAGTTTTTTGCATGTATCCCTGTTGACTGCCAAGGTGGTTAATATTAAAACACTAAAAAGTTGGGTGGAAGGATTTTATGGGAGCTTCTTTTGAATTGATAAATCAAGACTAATTTATTATTGAAAATACAGGAAGCATATTAGGCATTAAATCAGTAACAACTGTACAGACTGTCTGGTTATTAGCAGATATTCTAGGTCAAAGCATCTGCTTCATAGTCAGTCAAAAGATGGTGTGTTGCATAGGTGCTTCATGCCATGAAGCAAAGCTAGCTATGTAACAGTTAAGGATTCTTCCTCCCAAGTGAATTCCCTTTTATCCACTCACTAATGGCTAGAATGTAAATAGGCCAGTTCTCTGGTTCTGAGGTACCTGACCCAGATAAATAAACACTTTTTGTCCCTCCCAACATCCAAAAACAGGTCATGCCCAAAATACCTATTGGGATTGTCCCTGGCCCATGCTGCTGTCTGTGAGAGAACTGGTTGGGAAAGCCAAATCTGTGCCAGGGATCATAGTAGCAACTAAACATCATGGATGATTGTGGGTCAGTGCTTAAACCTGGTGTTTAGTGATGATTTTTCTCTCTCCCCTATCCTCCAGCTTTATACTTCTCTAAAAGATCAGATAAGCTGGGACTCTTGCTGATGACAAGATGACCCACTTAGTGGATGAGGGAAAGGCTGTGGATGTTGTTTACCTGGACTTTAGTAAAGCCTTTGACACTGTTTCGCACAGCATTCTCCTGAAGAAACTGGCGGCTCATGGCTTGGATGGGTGTACGCTTCACTGGGCAAAAAACTGACTGGATGGCCAGGCCCAAAGAGTTGTGGTGAATGGAGTTCAATCCAGTTGGTGGCTGGTCACAAGTGGTGTTCCCCAGGGCTCAGTACTGGGGCCAGTTCTGTTTAATATCTTTATCAACGATCTGGAAGAGGGGATTGAGTGCACCCTCAGTAAGTTTGCAGACGACACCAAGTTGATGTCATCTGGGCGGGAGTGTTGATCTGCTTGAGGTTAGGAAGGCTCTGCAGAGGGACCTCGACAGGCTGGATTGATGGGCCGAGGCCAACTGTATGAGATTCAACAAGGCCAAGTGCCGGGTCCTGCACTTCGGCCACAACAACCCCATGCAGCGCTACAGGCTTGGGGAAGAGTGGCTGGAAAGCTGCCCGGAGGAAAAGGACCTGGGGGTGTTGGTCGACAGCC